TGATGACTGCAACTGTATTTTATACCTAAAATGTACCAATAAACTTAATAGGAAAAAAAAGAGCTACATTTCCAGTTAGTGACAGATAATCAAATTTAAACCTGATGAGTCAAGAAATAGCACTGCCAGTACACAGCGGCAGACATCAGAAGTAGCTGACAGAGCTAACTTTGCTTCAAGGACTGGAGCTCTAGTGGGAAGGAGACTGCTGCTGAAGTGCAGTCCTTAGCTACCTATGTTTTTGTTTTTATTGGGAGGCTTTGAGGGCTTTTCTTCTTGTTTCGTTTTGTTTTGGGTGTATGGACACAGGGCTTCATTATGTACCCCAGGCCAGCCTTCAACTTTCTATCCTTCTTCCTCAGCCTCCCAAGTGCTGGCATTACAAGTGTGTGCACCACGTCGGGCTCTCCCTACTTTTTTTTGTCATGTACAATTACTCTGATGATTTCCCACTTTACGTGTTCACGTTGTACACGTTTCCAACATGCTAATACAACTATTCATTTTTGTGTCTGGCCTGCCTTCTTCATCCACACGCAGACACGTTCACATTAACAGCTGTTTGCAATCCTATGCATTTATAGTCAGCTTTTTTCACTTTTTCATTATCACAGACAGTGTGCTCGTGCTTCTCTTACCTATCTTGCCAGTGGCTCTGTGATATTCTAACGTGCTAGAGCGCCTCAATGTAGCTAAGTACACCAAAGTGGGACGGTTAGGGATGCTTCCACTTTTATCCCTGGAAACGATCCGGTGAGGACGAAATGCAGGTACCCGGTCTTGCAGGCTTCCGCTCAATCACCGGGAGGAGTCCGCGTGTCGGTTTAGCCCTAAACCAACCGCAGCAGCCCGCTAGAGCTTTGTCCGGGAGCGCGCGCGGCCGGGGGCGGGGCCTGGGTGGGGCCGGCATGTCCCCGCCCCCGAGGGCGTCCCAGACACCCGCGGTGGAGGCGGGGGGGGGGCGGAGGTCCTAGGAGGGCGGTGGCGGGCAGGGCGGAAGCCATGGCTCTCGGGGCGGGGGCCGCGTTCTCGGTGCTGAGCCCTCTGCGCGCGTTGTGGCTAGGGCTGGCTGCCGCCTTCCTGCTGACCCTGCTGCTACAGCTCGCGCCGCCCCGCCTGCTCCGGGACTGCGCGCTCTTCCAGGACCTGATCCGCTACGGGAAGACCAAGCTGGTGGGGCCGGCGCGCCCAGCCGCCTACCGCGCCTTTGATGTCCCCAAGAGGTAACCGCGGTGGTCCTGCTCCGCGCAGCCGGCAGGGGGCAGCAGAGGCGTCCGCGGTCCCGGGGAGCCCGCCGCGAGCGGTGACCGCGCGGGTCGGGACCTTGAGGCTGCTCGGAGCCTCTCCCGGGAAGTAGCACATCCGATTTAGGCCCGGTCCCGGGCGACAGACAGGCCTTCTTTGTCCCCACCTCCCCTCCCCTGCGCACTCTACGTAGGGGCTCACAGTCCAACCGGAGGTCCCCGGAATTCGCGGGGTCTGCGCTTGGCACCTCTGTCTCCCGGGCGCGTTGGCCTCCCCGGCCCCTCGCGGTCAGGACAAAGCAGGCAACGGTGGGGTCGCGCTGACGCTCCGGACCCGCACCGCGACAAGTGGCCCAGGATGGCGTGTTTTAGGCCGACCCCCATCTGTTTGGCTTTCACTAGACTTCAAGACCAAATTCAATGCAAGTGCTTGGGATCAAAAAGAATTCATTCAGAGATTGCGAGTCCTGTTAGCAGTTTTTCTTTTTTCTACTTTGAATTCAGGACAGAGATTGGAAAACTCAGAGATTGGCGGATTGAAGGCTGCCAAATACTATTCTTAACAGTAGAAAGAGAGCGGTGTTTTTGTCTCTGAGATGCACCCTAAGTTCGCATTTAGAAATGAGTTGGAAGGAATCTGATAGTTTCTGATGGATTAAAAATGAGTTATCTTTAAAACACCGCTAGGGGTTTGAAGATTTAGCTCGTTGGTAGAGTGAACTACATGAAGTGTGCTCAAGGCCGTGGGTAGAGTCCACAGTAGTGGAAAAATCATGGATTTTTAAACACCCATAAGCAGGTCCTGGGTCCACAGACAGCAAAGGGACCAAGTGTAAAGGTTCCTCAACCTAGATAAGCCCTACCTTTTTTTTTTTAGATGAGTCTCTCTCTTTTTGTCCAAGCTAGCCTTAAACTCAGGGCAGTCTCCTGCCTCAGCCTCCTGAGTGTGGGGATTACAGGTGTGTGCCATTATGCAGTGGATGAAAGATCTATCAGGTGTCAACACTGAAGAGGGAAAAACTCATTCTGAGCAGTAAAGAATGAGAGGCGCTGGGAAGAAAAAATTTGTAAGACATTGGCCAAACCTATTTCTTAAACATTCTTTTTAAATAAAAATCCCTGTCATCTTAATCAGATTTGATTGCAGGATGTTATTTTCTACTTTATAAACATGTATTTTCTAAATTTTGAAAAAGGTGCTAGGATCCCTGGATGCAAGAGCACACTTAAAATCATCCCTCACTTCTCTTTCTCCATCTGTTAGAACTCAAGTGTCATTGTGTGACAGCCAAGAAAGAGTCTTGGGGCCTTTCCCTTCATTCCTGTAACAGTGGTACTCTTTGGACTTCTTGTAATCTCCAGTATCTTGTGAAATACTGTACACCTTTTTCTTCTCCCAGAATTCTAGCGTAAAGCCTCTAGAGCATTAAAGTGCTGTGGGGTGGTTACTGTTCATTTTCCCTAAATGTAAATATTTCTGAAGTACTGGAGAAGGTACAACAAATCCAGGCCAAGCATGAAACACATTTTTATTCAGATGGAAAAAAGAGCACTTGCATCAAAACTGGAAATGTCTCCAAAAGATGAACAAAGTATATTACTCTCCTTTTAAACTTTGTTCTCTTTTTTACATGAAAAGGGGAATAGACAGGTGGAAGTGAGACTGTAGCATCCTTCACACTTCTCTGTATTTTCCACTGTCCTATGGACAATGTGCTTATCATTCTTGTAGTGAGAAAAAAACCAATGCATTACTGGCCAAGGGGCACATGAAAGAGCTCTTAGTAGTTTGTTAGCCACAGTAACCACTGTTGACTAAGTGCCAACACGTAGATGATGGCTATTACTTGCAGCAGTGCCTTTGCTCATTTAATCCTTATGGTACACCTATGAGGAAAATGTCACTGTCCTTCCTGCTCACAGACATGCACACTCAGGCACAGGAGAGGTCATTTGCCACATAGTGCGGGGCTGGTAGGTAGTGTGGGTGGGACTTGGACCCTCCCTGCCAGAATCAAGATCATCCCAAGCTCTTAACCTGTGGTATGCTTCATGGTATGGTCTTACACCATGCAAAGCTGAGTCATGTATGAGAGAGCAACTGAGAATACTTATCCCCAGATGGTGGTAAGAGCTTAGTAAGAGCTTGGTTAGTCCATCTTTGAAACTATTTGGTAATCTTAACCTACATGCTTATATTTAAATATTTTTCCTTGTGCAAATTTTAATAGCACTATTTTTTTTTTTTTTGGCAGTGTTGGGGATGAAGCCCAGGGCCTCACATGTTAGGCAAGTGCTCTACCACTGAGCTACATCCCCAGGCTTTAATACCACTCTTAAAGATGAAAGCAAGCCTGTAATTTCAACACTTACAAGTAGGTAGCTGTAAACCGCATTTCTGTGCATAAGGTGGTACTTAGGTAATTTTGTTTGTAATTGTTTTCCTAAAGAGTTAAAAATAAAACCTTAAATCAGTTCCCAGAATGTCTGTTTCCATTGCCCATGTCTGGTCAGTTTTTTTTTTTTTTTCTTTAAGGCTACAGTTGATTTTCTTGTTTTCTTTTGCTTCTTAGAGTTTTGATTTCCCAGAAAGGGAATAAATAGGTGAGCTGGCACATGAGCTCTAGACTTCCATAAGAGTAGTGGATATGGAAGCACTTCTGTTTCTGAAATCTCAAAATGGTTCTAAGCGCTATCAAAGCACTGCAACTGAATTGGGCTCTGGAGGCCAAGAGAGCTGTCCAGGCTTTTTCCCTGAATTACAGGGGTGCTCACCAGTTGCAGGACCCCTGGATAGAATGCAAGGCAAACTGGAAATGGAAACAAGGCACATAATTATTTTCACTAACCTCCGGCTGAGATGTAGCGTTTCCTTAATCATAAATGTAATCAACAGATCACAACAGAATTAGCAGTACTTGCAACTTTGTCCCAGTTTGTCTTGTTGATGTAAGAAATATACATAATACTGTATCACAGACTTGATTTTTAGTAGTTGTATTACCTATATATCAGTGTAATTGGTTTACTTTGTAATTCCTATGTATTTTATGCTTATAATAGCACTTTGAGAGGGGTCTGTAGCCTTTGCCCGATTGATAAAGGGGCCTATTGCCAAGAAATGGTAAGAAGCCCTGCTGTGGACTTCCATTTGTCCTTCTTGTTACCATATGGATCTCAAGGTCAGTGCCTGATCAGATGAGATCAGAGTTTGTCAGACTGGGCTTATGGGTGTGGTCTGGGGGGCTGTTGAGTTCTCTTACAAGCAAATACTGGCTCATCTGGAGGAGCCCCTGAGCTTACATTTAATCCTGTTTGGCTCCAGCTCATGCTCTTCACAGACCAAAGAGAACAGAAGGAGAGGTTTAATATTGATCCATGGAAGACCAGGGAAGGCCAGGTGATCTCTGGGTACCCAGTCGAGTCAGAAAGGTTTTGAATTGATTCACACAAAGGAAAAATGCAAGCTAATCCAAAAATCCAAAATGCTCCGGTATCCAAAACGTTTTGCATGCTGACATAATGCCCCAAGTAGAAAAAATTCCACACTGGGCTTCATGTGATAGATCACAGTCAAAACTCGTGTGCTAAAAAATATTGTATAAAAGTATCTTCAGCATATGTACAAAGAGTGCACATGACACATAAAGTGCTCAGACTTAGGTCTCGTCCCCAAGACACCTATTAATTTATATGCAGATATTCCAAATTCTGAAAAAAATTATACAGTTTGAAACACTTGATCCCAAGCATTTAGGGTACGGAATACTCAACCAGTAGTAGGAAAAGTAGAGGGAAGTGGACCTCCAAAGAACATGTGAGACAATTGTGTGCCGTTAGGTGATTTCATTTTAACCAGTCAGCATCTTTCACATTAAATTAACCTCGATAATTTCATTTTATTGGTTTTTTGGTTGTATTTATATTTAGTTTCTAAATGTGTTCATTGCAAAGTAGGCTCTATAGTTGTCTGAGAAAATGTAAGGAGTTCCTATCTATGGTTAATAATACTTTTATTATTGCAATATTTGTCATTATATTTAGGTCAGCATAATTCAGAAAAACACTGGAGCATAAAATCTTTAAGGTTTCTTCTAGCCCTATGTCTGTGACTGTGCAAATCTTGTGCAGTAGTTGTGTGGCTACTACTGCAGTATTGGCTCAAAACTCAGATATATTCACAGATTTAGCTTATGTTAGCACAACCTAGATTCTCTTTGCAAGACCTTATGGCGTTCTTTTTTGGAATTTGAGCCCAATTCTTTTACCAGAGATAAGAGAGATTGCCCCCTGACCCTCAGGCCAAGTTAATAAGATCTCTTGTGTTCTTGGTAATCTCAGACAGGCCTCCTTTTTTTTTTTTTCTTACAAGGTAACTGGTGCTGACATTGGAAAGGAAATGTTAGGGCCAGGGATTTAGCTTAGTGGTTCTGCCGCCTGCCTCGAAAGTGCAAGGTCACGAGTTCGATCCGCAGTACCAAAAAAAGAAAAAGGAAATGTTAAAACATATGAACACATGAAGGATTCAAGTTATTTTTAAAAGCTAAACTCTACTTTGGGTTGAGAGCTGGGAATAGAGAAACTAAAAATAATCTTCCTGTGTAAGAGTTTAACACCATTCCACCTTAGTGACAGCCTAACTCCTTTTCCTTTTGCAGGTATTTTTCTCACTTCTATGTCATCTCTGTGCTGTGGAATGGCTTCCTACTTTGGTTCCTTACTCAGTCTGTGTTCCTGGGAGTGCCTTTGCCAAACTGGCTTCATGGTCTACTCAGAATTCTTGGGGCGGCGCAGTCCCAAGGTAAGACTCCCAGCCACTCCCGGCACTACAGCTTGTTCTCCGGCTGCTGTCTTGTGGCAGCTGTGCTCCGATCCTTGCCTCTCTCAGGCACCAACCCCCCCAGGGCCCCTGAAGTCAGGACAAAAGAGTTTTGCCACTCGATGGATACAGGGATGTCCACGAGTCCTCACCGAGACTGTGGCAAGCCCACAGTTAGCGCTCCAATCCTGACTTCCCCCAAGCACAGAGCAGTGACCAGGACTGGCTGTTGTCCCTCAATATTTTTAGTACAGCACTGCTGACAAATTTATGGAGAAGTCTGCACACATGAGGAGGAAGCTTTTAGGATCCTTCAGGTTTGCCTTGCAACATTTATCATTTATACAATTCAGCCAAAATCATGTCTCAGAACTCATGGAAATTTGATTATAAATTAGTTTCTAGTAAACATGTGAAAAGGTTTGTTATGCTATACAGTTTGGGTTATTTACTATTACTTGGGCCAGATTTTTACAAAATGGTCTTTAAATATGCCACATTCAGCAGCAGATAAGGGATATGCAGAACAGTTTTTAAATAAGGAACCAGAGCAGATGTGGTGGGGCACACCTGTGGCCCCAGCCACTCAGGAGGCTGAAGCAGGAGAGTCACTTGAGCCCAGGAATTCAGGACCAGCCCTGTCAACAAAGCAAGACCTCATCTCAAATAAGCAAATAAAAATTGAAGGTGAAAGCCATGCTGTGGCCTCAGTTAAGGTCAGGCACAATTAGAAACAAATTGTTCTCTGTCCTTGTCTCTATCCTTTGTTCCAGCAGCCAAACCACCAGCTCCCTAGGAACAATCCTTTTCTGTACAACAAAGAATTTGCTGCAAAAAAAAAAAAAAAAAGGGAAAGAATCAGTAGAGAAAACTTATATATGAAACTAGGGGGAAGGCGGGATGTGGGGTGTTATGGGGAATGATTAAAGTATGTTACATGCACGTACAAATCTGCCAAAATGAAACCCATTAATCTGCAGAGAGAGAAACAGAAAGAGAGGGAGAATGGACAAACCCACGCACATCTTGCTGGGAGGGAGGTACCACAGCGAATCATCCCTCGCTCATTAAAACATCAGTGCTTGGACTGTTTGCTGGGGAGGGTTTGTTTTAATCTGTTCCTAAAGAGTTAACAACTAGGTTAATTTATTGAAAATATAAAAAGAGCAAAGCTAATCTGCATTGACAGAAGTCAGGACAGGGGTAGGTAGCCTTGTGGTGGGGGAAGGAGGGAGTGGTACTTGGGTAGGAACATTAGGGATGCCGGCCATGTTCCGTTTCTTAATCTGAGTGTTGGTTCATTGGGTCAGATGCATTGCTGTAGCCTTATGACTTGTGTGTTACTCATTTTTAAAAAAAGAAAATCTAGGTTTTATGTTATCTTAAAAATAAAGTTATTTTCAGACTTTTGTGGTGACCAAGGGATAAGAAACTGGCAGGAAGGTAGATTTCAGGGCTCACTGTCACCCTGAAAGCTTTTGTTGTTTTTCAGGTGTTCAGTAGGCATGAACCCAGGGACTCATGCGTGCTAGTGAAGTGCTCTACCCCTGAGCTATACCCCAAGCCCTTCTCTTTTTTGTTTCAGTATGGAAAGAAATGCATAACTGTGTTTTTATTCCTGCCTCTACCTCTGTGGATACTTGGGAATTCCACTAGGTAGGATTGTTCTGAGGCCAGCTGGGAACTCTTCCTAGTTGCATCCAGCTGTACCATGAGCCAGACACTCACAGACCCTGAGTTCTGAGTGGAGCCCCCTTCTCAGTGACATACCCTGGGAGGCTTTCACATGGTGCAGCAGAGCCAAGATGGCTGTTTGCCCTGCTCTATCACTAATTTACTGCATAATCTTGAGCCAAATTCCATGGTTTCAACTGACCCATGTCCTCACTGCTAAAAAGAGGAAGGTAAAGCATTCAACAAAATCCAACACGCATTTATGATAAAAACCCTACAAAAAATTGGAATAAATGGTCTCTACCTCAATCTGATAAAAGCCATCTATGAAAAACCAACAGTCAATATCATATAAATGGTCAAAAACTGAAATCCTTCACACTAATATCAGGAACAGGACAAGGATGTCCACTATCACCACTCCTGTTCAATATAGTTCTGGAAACATTAGCCACAGCAATTAGA